AAATGAAAATGGAGCAGTCACCAATTATGCCGGGTAGTCAGATGTTGTGAGGAGAAGGTGGAAGAACACTTTCTTCACGCATTCATACAGATACAGACTTTTTACACATTGCAGCAGGTTTCTTTTTATTGTTTTTTAATCGGAGTCAGATTCAGGAGAGGCTACCAGAGCTTGCAGGGTCAACTCCTCTTGTTCCATCCTTTGTTTTTTGGCAGCTTGCTTCTTGAAAAACATGTCCAAGGTGGTCTGTTTCTCTCTCTTCTTCAACACCTCTCGAAAATGACGGACAGGGGTGTCATTGTAGAGATCATTGATCCTGTTAGCCTCAGCTCTGTTTGGATAATGAGTGTTGGTAAACTCATGAACCTCTCCCCATTTGACAAGGAAGTTTTTGTTAACTTTCACTCCTTCTGATGATTTCTTGCTTTGTTTCAAGTGAAATCACCTTTCTGTTTTTTTAGAAGCCATGATTTGCACATAAATAAATGTAAATACCCTGCACTGAGGTGATGTACATAATAAACAAGGGAGCAAGCTGAATCCCAACGGGAGCTCTGTACTTCAGATATACTAATAATATATTCTAATAATGCTAATATATTATAAAAATAGCAGATTGTCATTGGCAACAGCAAAAGAGTGGAAGCATTATTCGCACTTGTTTGCAGAAAGCCCATTGTTCACAGCCAGTCCATTGCTTGAGTCACGTAATGGCCAAACAGAAAATCTGTTGTTTGCAGCTTCCATAATTCGAGGCATACGTTATACAAGGCACCACTGTATATCAGATTGGGCCATATTCAATATTATTCAGTAAACAAAAACATATTGTAATTAAAAAAAGGCTGTAACAAAAGCTATTTTGTTGCCAGGCCTTTACAATTTATGTAAACAGAAGTGTGAATTTTTTCGGTTTTAATCCCTACAAGATATTAGAAACATTGATTTTTAGAAAATAAATTATCAATGAGCAGGCCAGAAATATGAAGCCTTAATGAGCAATACTGGCCCACAGGCCACCAGTTTGTGACCCTTGTTCGAAACTGTACATCAGTAAAAATCACATTTTTTGGTAGCTGCCATAGGATGCAGAATATAAGGTTGAATGATATGCATAGGTCTATTTCTGTTTTAACAATTTTCTGTGGGGAATACATCTGTGTGAAATTATAGTACAGTCAAACCTTGGTTTTCGAATAGCTTGATTTCAAACAAATCGGTTCATAAACAGAATTTTGAACTCATAATTGCACCCGTTGCCATATGATAACTTGGTTGCTGAACAAGCTACTTGGCAAGAGCCAGCCAAAGATTAGATAGACAAAGATGATCAACTCCCTATACTTCCTACATTAAAGAAATAAGATGGCCTGACCAATCAATGACAGGGCTACCAATTCAGAAGTTAGTGACACCAAGATTGCCTCACATCATTAGACGTCATGACATAAAACTTCAATGATGTTGCCATTTAAATTATATTTCAATGCACATTCAGGAAAGATGCTAATTCCATTTTTTGGTACTTGTTGCAGTTGAATTTAAATCAAATTAATTAATAAAAACTGCATTAACTGACATTCACATAATATAAATGGCATACAAGAACTCTTGTTTAATGGTGCTTAAGTCAAATTAAATAACAAAAAATATATTTAATAATTTTATTATGTTTCATTTTACACAACTGGCATTCAGTATTATATTTAACAGTATTTGTTACATTTTATGCAAGAACTTTTAATCAACATCATTTAGAAAGGTAACAAATACAGCTAAAACAAACAAAAAACAAAAAAGATTTTATCTTGCCGGTCACGAACAGATTAATCCATTTTATATTGTTTCTTATGGGGAAATTTGTTTCAGTTTTAGAACAACTTTTAGGAACAAATTATATCCAAAAACTGAGGTTTGACTTTATTCCCATTTTCTATGCACAAAAATTTTTAAATCAGAATAATATTTTAAAAAGTTAAAAATTAAATAATATTAAATTTATAATTTCTTAACTCCAGAAATTATACTGTTTATTATTTGACACGTAAAACTGGAAGAAATAAAATTAAGCATTTTTAACTTATATTTTTTAAGACTAAAACTGAAACAATAGAATTACAAAATTAAACATAAAAATTCTGTTCAGATTTGCTTAAAACAAATAATACTAATCAATGTAAAATTTTACAGGCAATGTTTCATTAAAACATTTACATCAGTTTTATTTTTAACTTTAATTTAAATAAATTAATGTCTTCAAAATGGTTTTCTTTGTTATTCAAAATATTCAATGAATTAAATGGACATTTTGAATAATAAATATTTATTATAAAAAATATTAAGATAAAGAGTTTTGAATAATTATCAAAATAAAAAGTTTAATATAGTCTTAAAACTTCTACAGATCATAGTTTTTTAATTAAATACTGAATATAAACATTTCTCTATATCTGATATACTTTCTAGTTATTTATTTTCAGATCTCAACAAAATGCAATTATGTAATGTTAATTAGGCTTACAAAAAATTTTTTAAACTAATTATTTAAAAAAAATTAAAATTTGTATAATTAAGAGGATAGCAAATAAGGAAATTTTTTTGCAAAATCTCAAAAAGGAACTAATCAGTACCTCCTAGCACAAAAAGTAAGTTGCATTTTACTTCCTATGTAAATATTTTTTGTACCATACAAAAAAATAATTTTTAATTCTTACTTTTTTAATATTGTCACTTCTCAATTATAATAAACATTTTAACAATTTTACTCAATTTTTAGTTAGATCAAGGAAAAAAAATCAAATTACTGTACTGTACATATTATTTAGGAAAGATTTAAACTTTATACAAATGCTCCATAGAATAACAGGAAACTAACTTAAAAAGATGATGATAATAAATTTACTGTTTTAAATACTGAATTTAAAAGAGTCAATTAAAATTACAATAGCTTATTTGCACTATGATAATTAAGAAAAAACTTAACTTCATACTTTTTGTTGCTTGAGCAATTAATATATATAAATAATAATCCTTTATACAATGATGATAGGTTTAATCAAATTTATTAACATAAATGAAGGAATTTTCAATGTTCTGAAGTCAATAAACATTTACCATTCAAATGTTTATTTTTTCTTTTATAGTCTAAAATATATGAACCATTAAACATTGCATATATGGATAAATCTAAAAGAGAAATGTGTTTTCTCTTAGACTGTTTTCTATGTTCACTTTAAGATTTCATATGATCATATATTAGGAAGTACTCAAATATCTCAAGTTATATTTAGCTTGTTTGTTTTTTCTTATCCTATCAATTCTTTTTGACAGATATTTTCTGAAGTTTAACAAAATTAATTAAACTATAATAAGAACAAAATATAACTATATAAATGAATTATTATATTATATAAAATTAATTACAAAATTAAAAAGTTAAATTTCCCACATTCACGTATAATTTATGCAAATATCTTTCATGAACCACATTCAACATCAAAATATATTTTGGCTATCCAAGATTTATTCATTCATCTTCTATTGCTGATCCATTAACACTTGATTACAAATCAAAATCAATCATTTTGATTGTTGACCGAATCTAAATGATGATTATACATTTGATCTATATGAAAAACTATCAAAGAACATATCACAGTACAGAAAAAAACTTTCTTCCTCTTTTAGTTGGCAGAAGAGGGGCTTAGGAGCCCGAAACGTGTAAATTTTTCACACATATCAACTAAATAAAGATGAGAAAAACCGCCAAATGTCTTAATTTATAGCACTTTATTGTGTCAGAAGCAGAAACAAATTTAAAGCAAGGTTTCATATCATTAAGAGATGAAAAAATATTCCAAGTTTTAGATTTTTCCCTTAATAAACATATAAATGTCAAGAACAAACACTTTCAGATATAAATATTTTAGCATAATGAAAAACTTTTAATTAAAACTTAACACATATAGTTTGCCAATTGCGGTTAATTATATTTAAACAAACAATATTATACGTAATAATGTTTGCTTAAACATAATTAACCACAATCAACAAAATATACCTTACTAGTTCGAGCGACGAACTCTAGTATATTTCAGAGGATCCTCATTAGAAAAGTATCGAACCAAGAACATAATACAATTAGAAACAATCAGCAGACTGAACAGTTCCAGAGTCGTTGAGTATTTTTCTGCCAGAGTCAATTACGTAGTGTGGTAGCACTCTTTCGGAACACATTTGGCATTTTGATGTCACATTTGGTAGCATCTTTCATTTGCGCTATCTATCGCTACCTGAAACTGACCAAGAAGGCATTTTGTTCAAATGTGTTTAGCAGATCAAGGTTGCTACGCAACAGCTACTGGTTTGCTCAGTTAAAACCGTCAAGTCTGCCGAACACAGTCAACGTATTCCACACTTTCATCGAAATATCGTTGACCACATGACTGAATCAAACAAAGAATTGTCACATATAGAAACAGATATATATAAAATCATTTAAGATCAACTTAAGATCAATATACGTTATTTCATTCATTAAATACAGTATATATAAATGAAAATAAAAGCACTTTTGTTATTTTAAAATGCATGCATGAGTAAATTTTACACACTATATATATAGTGCGTAAAATTTACTGTATTTAGTCTGTAAATATATTTATAATATATGTATAAAAAATATTTAGTGTAAAAATATATAAATTACATTATATATATATATATATATATAATGTAATTTATAATGTCAATAAATATTTAATTAAGCTTCCATAATTATTATAATTTTTTTAAACTTCAATGTTACTTTTATTAGTAATGTGATTCAATCATTTGATAAACATTTAAAATGTCTATTTACATCCTTTGAAAATAATATACAATTACGCATGCGCAACATGTGTCGGAAGGAGAATAAAGAGCAGTTAGGAAAATTCAAAAATAAAATACATTTTGTCGATTTTACGAATTGTAAAATGAAATGCCAATAGACGGCTTACCTTTCTTGACGTGTCTGAAGTGGCAATGGGGCCTTTCGCACAATCCACTGTTAAAAAACGGACAAATAACGCTTTGAAAGTAACCGGACGACGGTAGCATGTCGTCTGGCAAAGTTAAAAAAAAAAAAAAAAAAAAAAAACGGGGTTTATATAAACGACTTTATCTCGATTATTTAAGAGTCAACCCATTTCTAAACTGTCCCATTCTATTTATATATAAATAAACCACATTTTTGTCGAAATATTAACGATTATTTCACACTAAATAAGCCATTAACGCGGTAGACATGTTTGAAATCTCGAACTCAATGAATTCTACTCCCATCGTAACAAAAAGACTACGCTACGTAATCTATCATTGGATGATTCTCCATTTCAATTTTACCATTCGACCAATAAAAATTTCCGAGACGATAAAAAATTAATTATTGATCTCTATTAATAAAATTTATTAATTTTACGTAAAACTCTTTATTTTTACGGTATAATTATTAATAACGTTTTAAATAAAAATAATACTTCAACGTTTTATTTTATAAAGTTTATTTTTTGTGTTGTTGTTTTTTTAATGTCGTTTGGAGTTGTTGTCAAAATGGCGGCCTGAGTTTCGTTTTGAGTAGAATAGGAACTAATGAGTGATGTTTATATAATTTATATTTTAATATATACATTCTACGCAATACATGTTTGTCATCACTTAGTAAGTAGAAATTTTATTAAATTATAATTAAATTTAGCATCAATCCTGTTAAAAATGGCTGACAGAAGATAAGATAATTTTAGATTCTAGTTGAGTTTTTCAAGTATTTGACTTGCTCTTATGTAATTAAACAGTTACAGCAACCGATTTAAGGTTAAAGTGTAATATTCTAATGCTTTTATGTTCCTCAAATTCGTTTTATGTATCGAAAATTCTGTTTTCTCATGTAATTTTTGATTCTTTGAATGTGTATTTATACTAAATAATCTGAAATAGCTGCATTATATTTGTATATGTATTTTACTCAACGCTTGCTTATAAAGGTAAGATGTGAATCCTGAATGAAGAATTTCTCACCCCCATACAAGCAAAAAGTCAAAGAAACTGTACCTGTACATGTGACCCTTCGCCAGATATTTGCCTCCAAAGGTCAGTTGTTATCGTGAACCAATATACTCTGTGTTCTGCATCAGTTGAGTCAATCACTTGCCTTGACTGATGCTCTGTAAGTAGATCACTTGCCTTGACTGATGCTCTGTAAGTAGATCACTTGCCTCGACTGATGCTCTGTAAGTAGTTGTGCACTTCGGTGCAACAGCGAGCACCAAAGTGCCCATGTGGGGACTTCCCTACACCCCTAAAACTGTGTAACGTTGAGTACTCGGCAAACAGTCAAGTGGGCTACTTAAAGCAGGCATAATCGTGTGAGCAAAATAGATGGGCCCTGTCGTACCCTCAGTACAAATCTGTCCCTCAACCTCAACCTGACCCACTCATTAATTCTGAATTACTGGCTGTCCACCGATGTACTGCCGAGCCAGCACATGGTGGCATTGGAATTGTTTATTTGCTAAATGGGTCGCTTCAAGTAACCACCAGGTGGCAACTCATCAGAGAATATGGCCTGAGTGGCTGACATCTCCATATAAACCCAAGAAAAAGAAGGTAAGAAAGTGGGCTAAATAGTTAAACATGATTGTCACATTGGAGTGATGCAACTTCCAGTTATGGCCCACAGTGGCCAAGCGATTTTGTTCCCTGAACACTGGGAGTTCAGTCATGAGTTTGTGCCTTGCCAGGATGGGCTGGCCACGTAGAGTTTTTTGGGTTTTCTCCACATCTGTAATGCCTGAATAGGGGCCAATTACCTTCAAAAAGACCTCCTGGAAGGCATTTCCCTAGGCAGATTGCCCAAGTGTTGCATTGCCGTAACTTAATAAAACAAACAAACTCCCAATCATGTGCAACCTGGAAGTAGACTGTGTCTCTTCAAGTTTCACATGTAAAGGTATTGTTTCTTTGAATTTTTGCTCTTGTGGGTATGATCTGATAAGGTCCCAATCATCTCATTCAGAGGTGTAATTGTACTGAATATTGGAATATAAATTTTCTCTTTAGAGCTTATGTTTGCTTTTCACCTTGCAGGAACTTCAACTAGAACAAGATTTTCAGAGGTTATCTGACATAGATTGATAAGATCATAACTTGTATTGGTAACATCCTTATAAAATGAGGTACTTAAGAATCAATTGCTTGTAATCTAGTACTTGATTCTAAAGTGAATTTATTGCTAGTTGCATTAGTAATTAATTTTATTGGGCATTGTTTATTTAATAAGTGGCTATGTTTCACTAATATTTTGAGAATATGTTTGTTAACGTAAATGTATGTCATTACTTTTCTTAATTTTTCATATTTGTACAGTTGAGAGAGTATTTGTTTTAAATTTCAGCTGGTTAAATAACGTAAAGTAATATAATTTTAAATCTGAATACAGTAGAGCGTCGATTATCCGAAACATCAATTATCTGAAAGAATTCCAGTCGGCAAATTTAAATTTTTGCCAGTGCTGTGGCACTGCACTCTTTGGCTATGTCTTGGGCTACTCAAATATTTTACGTTTTTGATACTAAATTAACTTCCGAAGTATAATTTTTTATTGTTTTTATATTTTTCAATATATTTATTTTGTTTGTACAAAATAAAAAAATAATTTTTAACGATACAATAGTCTTCGTTAGGCTTAACATCGACGAAAATTCAACGCGAAGCGACACGCAACAGAGAAAAATTTCAACATAGGATAGGTTAATATATTTTTTCATATATAATTGGTTATCCGAAATATCGATTTTCCAAACAACCCCAGTCCCCAATTGATTCAGATAATCGACGCTCTACTGTAATGTTCTTCTAGATTTTTTTGCTAGAGAATTTGTTATGTTTTTGGCAAACTTTAAAAAACTAAGGAGTAATTAAATATAATATTTATTAAAATAAGATTTTTCTTTTTTATAAGCATTATTAGCTATGGAAAAATTAAAATAACAGCTATGCTAATATTTTCAGCATTGTATTAATGTCTTCTTCAGGTATTGATAATATAGAATGTAGAATATATTGTATGTATAGAATATACCATTTAAATCATAATTGTATAAAGAAGAAACAGGAAACCTTTATTCAGATCCAGCAATAAAACTTTTACTAATGTTTTCACGTTATTTCATAACCCTTCTTCAGGAATAACATTACTGCTAGATCTGAATAAAGTGTGTTTTTTTTTTTTTTTTTAATAGACAGTAAACCAGATGAATAAAGCTGAAACTATTATTTAAATAAACTCAACAGATCCATTCATTTCCAGCAATCACATTTATTACTCATATATTTATTCCTAATATATGAATATCATACTTGCCAAACTTTAGAATGGGGAATAGCTGGGACTTTGGTAGAGAAATGCTGCTTTTTAATAAAAGTGCTGACAGCATAAAATGCAAGAAAATTCTTTATTAACATTGATATTGCACAATGCTTATATTAAATACCTTTAATAAACAAAATTAATTTTATGTCTGCATATGATATGTAAACACTATTGCCATAAACACTATCAAGAGTATGGCAATAGCTTTATACTCTTTAACATCGCAATTTAAAAAGGGTCAAGTATTTTACAGGACACATCATAAATCCACATCCAGATTTATCATGTGTTCCATCTTGATATTGCATGATGAGTGCCTCTTGTTATATAGCTTTTTGCAATGTTTTGCTTTGTTACAGTGTAAGTGTGGTAATGATAATCAATCAGTTTATTGACTTCCACTGCAATTATCAATTTAAGAACAATGCTTTTCTGGTTGTGATTTATTTTGTATCTCTGTCTTACTTTTTCTTATTATATTGAATATTTTTTCCTTTTGCTACATAGTAATACAGGGAATGCTATGAGGCAAAACCATCATCAGCCTTACTATTTTACATGATTACACATCTTTGTAAAAGCCCACAAATTTCAAAGAACCATCTGATTTTTTTTTAGAAAGTTTATACCATCATGTTTTTTTTTTTTTTCATATGGGCAGAGAAACTGTAGCACTGCTTAATAATTTGGTCTAACTATAAAAGTAACTCATTTCCTTTCACTGATGAGTTGGCCATGATTGATTTAACCATGGATGCAAAGACACTAATGTTGTCAGACTTGAAGATGCATTTATCATATCTGCCATTTAAAATTATCATATTTGAGCTAAAATTCTCATATGTATACCAACATACATATATAAAAAATTTCAATCTTGGTTCATTCCCAATTGAACAAATCTGCAAATATCTTTTGTGGTTTGTTTCAGTTACTCATAATAAAATACTATACATATATTCTTCTTTAACTGCACTTTATTAATACTCAAGCATCGACAGATCATTCGATTGTTCTGTTCCTGATGAAGGCCTTTCAAAATGGCCAAAAATGTTAGTAAATTTCGAACCAGCTTGCTTCCAAGATTTAATCAACAATTTCAAGTATTTAAAGCATATTTTTATTTAAAAGTTTGATGTTACCATCATTTATTTTGATAGTAGTTATACAGGGTGTCCCAGAAGTCTTTCCCTGATTACAAACATGCAGAAGGCAGAAAATATGACACATAGACACATATCTTTTATCTTGAATTGCAGGTAACATATTCAAGTTTTTGTGTGTACATACATACTCATTAATAAATTTCAACATGTGCTCCTTTCGTTGCTCGAAGGATATCCAGGCAATATTCCAATTCCACCCATGTGTTGGTCAAAGTATCGTGAAGGATGGATATTACGACGTCAGTAGTTCTGTGCCATAATGTTGCAATGTTGTTCACTGGTGTTTGGTAAACCTGGTCCTTGACATAACCCCAAAGGAATAATTATGTGTTTAATGGTGTTATGTCCGGTGATTGCAGAGGCCAGTTGATGGGACACCACACACAATCCATCTTCCTGGAAATGCTGTATCCAAATAGGCACAAACTTCTAACCCCCAATGAGGTGGCACACCATCTTGTTGGAAAATTAAGTCCAGAATGTCCTGAATCTGTGGCACAACAAATAACTGCAACATATCAAGATAGGTATTGGCTGTGATTGTTCTGTAACAACAAAGTAACAGTGAGTATGTATGTACACACAAAAACTTGAATATGTTACCTACAATTCAAGATAAAAGATATGTGTCTATGTGTCATATTTTCTGCCTTCTGCATTTTTGTAATCAGGGAAAGACATCTGGGACACCCTGTATATTTATTAAATACTTTTCCAATTAACTTCATATTTATTCTTATTTCACAAGGAGACCCTATGGCTTTAGGGAAACGAATTTTGATGATCTTTGGTGTAGAGATAGTACACCATGTGAGTGTACTACCTGTAAAATACTAAAGTGCAATACTCAAATATAATTGAGAAAAACAAACTTAAAGTGTTTTTAGCACTTTATATATAAATTATACGTGATTCCATTTGAGCATCCTGTGGCTGAGTGGTAACGATCCTGACTCTTATGCTTGAGTTCCCGGGTTCAATTCTCGTGTATATATTTTTTTTTTAATTCATAAATACTTATAATGTATTTATTTATTTACTCATTCATTTATTTCTTATTATTTATTTATTTTAATTTAATTTCTACTATTCCAAGTCTAATATTTTTTTACTTTTGTTGACAATAACGGCGCATTCTTGGCACCTATGTGTCAACTTTCCCATCTAATTGTTATCACTAACGATGACCGATCTAATTCTCACTAGGAGCATTTTTTCTATGGAGTTGTTTTTCACTCACTCTTTAACGATTTGTTTCTGTATTTCAACACGAATAGACGTATTTGTGCAGTGAAATTTATTTTGAATAATTATTTTATAATTAAAAAAAATGTCATCAAGAGAAGCAAGTTCTTCACGTTATGACGAAGAAACTGTTGATGATAACTCTTTATACAGTGATGTATCGAAGCAGCGGCTAAAAGACGAATTAGTGTATTATGAGAGTTTACTTTTCAAAAATAATTTAATTGCAACATTTATAGATTTTTCCCATTCAACACATCCAATGTATTGTTGTATAATTCTGTGCCTATCAGCATAGCATTTTCAGATAGTGTATCAGAAGATGTTATTGCAATTAAATTATTTTCGGAAAGTAAACTCTCATAATACACTACTCCGTCTTTTAGCCGCTGCTTCGATCACTGTATAAAGAGTTATCATCAACAGTTTCTTCGTCACTACGTGAAGAACTTGCTTCTCTTGATGACATTTTTTTAATTATAAAATAATTATTCAAAATAAATTTCACTGCACAAATACGTCTATTCATGTCGAAATACAGAAACGAACTGTTAAAGAGTGAGTGAAAAAGAACTCCGATAGAAAAAATGCTCCTAGTGAGAATTAGATCGGTCACCATTAGTGATAACAATTAGATGGGAAAGTTATTGTCAACAAAAGTAAAAAAATATTAGACTTGGAATAGTAGAAATTAAATTAAAATAAATAAATAATAAGAAATAAATGAATGAGTAAATAAATAAATATATTATGATACATTATGATAAAATACATTATCATAAGTATTTATGAATTAAAAAAATATATATATATATATACATGAGAATTGAACCCAGGAACTCAAGCATAAGAGTCAGGATCGTTACCACTCAGCCACAGGATGCTCAAATGGAAGCACGTATAATTTATGTATAAAGTGCTAAAAAAACTTTAAGTTTGTTTTTCTCAATTATATTTGAGTATTGCACTTTAGTATTTTACAGGTAGTACACTCATGTGGTGTACTATCTCTACACCAAAGATCATCAAAATTCGTTTCCCCAAAGCCGTAGGGTCTCCTTGTCAGACAAAAATGATTTTTATTCTGGACAATAATAATTGCAATACATCCAGTTTCATTATGATGCAATTGTATTTTACCTTTTTGAAATTTACTTTCTTAATTTTTTAATTAAAATTTTTACATTATAAAAATTTTTTCCTAAATATCCATCTCACACCCGAGACCAGATATGGAAATCTTGAGGCAGGAGCCCCAATTAACTATGTAGGAACTTCCGATGCAAACCAGAGGTCTCATTATTTCAATTTCAAAACTTTTTTCCTGAAAGCAGTTAATAGATGACCAGCACAACTCTATGTTAAAGGAAAAGTGTGATGTACAGGGGCAAGC